TTCTTTAAACCGTCGTTTGTTTTCACATTAGACGTCGGAATTTATTTTCTACGACGTAATAAATAATCTAAAACGACGGTATTTAATTACCGTCGTTTAAATTATAATCAGACGACGTTTTTTAATTTAAACCGTCGTTTTTAATGAATTACCACAACAATTTATTTTGCTTTATTTCTTTAAACAGGGTAATGAAGTACTCGATTATTCAAATGTGGAGGTGCCATCTTCCTTACAATCCCTTTGTGGTTATGTGGAAACTACACTAAAGCCACAGGGGAAGATCATGACCTTCAACATTGAGAAGGAGGTGTTTGGTGCAGATCGAAGTACCTTCGTCTTGCATGAAGATATTACACAGTTTGCAGGCATGGAAGAAATTGGGGCTACTGTGGTTGCAGTATATATGAGGTTTGTCCTAATCAAATATCAAACATTATATCATAAGACGTCGGTTGTTTAATTATTGCGTCGTTTTAAACCACTAACCACGTCGTTCTTTTTTACTGTCGTGATAAATTAGTTATCACGTCTGTTTCTATTTCAGTTCGTCGTGTGAAATTGTATAATACGTCGTTTGTGTATAAATAACCGTCGTTTGTTTTATATATTTAGGTGCTTATATGATCTTTTGAGAGAAGCAAATATGTGCAGCATGGTTGGCTTTATCGACCCTGCTCAAGTTAGTGCCAACGCTGGGTCACTAACTGACAGATCACGAATTGTAGCCAGTCGACTTCAGAAAACAGATGGTGAACAGATTTTCATGATGCCTTACAATCCAGGGTTAGTCTCCTTAAAAGGATTTTGTTTGTATGATTTTCACTTATAAAACTGTTTAACTAATTCTGTGTCGTTTGAAACATCTAACCACGTCGGTTATTTATTTATTGAGTCGTTTGAAACAACTAACCACGTCGGTAGTTAATTCTCGTCGTGATAAATTTATAATCACGTCGATGATTAAGTTCTTACGTCGTGTGAAACTATATAATACGTCGGTTTTTATAAATAACCGTCGTTTTTTATTTTATTTTTGTGCAGCCGTCATTGGGTCTTGCTGATTGTGAGGGCAAAGAGGGAAACCGTCTATTTTCTGGATCCTCTGCCTGGAAATCGTGTGGTTGATGAGGAGGGCAAAAACATCGTGAACAGTGCTTTAAAAATTTATAATTCCCACATAGGCAGACCAGGCCGTAAAGCACCAATTTGGAAAACTCTGCCAGGCACACCAAAGCAACCCAGCAGTGTCGAATGCGGGTATTATGTCATGCGCTTCATGAGGGACATCATCATGGATCCTTCCTTGGAGTTTGAGAAGAAGGTAAGAATAAAATTTTCAGAAACATTTTATGTGGTTTTTTGTATTATCAACGACGGTCATTTAAAATTACCGTCGTTGAATCGATAGACTACGTCGGTTATGAAAAAAAACGTCGTCTGTGACTGAATTTCTTTTTATTTTGTAAAGCTTAATAATCATTGTTTATGGATTGCAGTTTGCCAAGGGAAAAGATCAAGCGCCATACCCCCAAGCAGCCATTGATGAAGTCAGGAAAAGAATGGGCAGAGTTTGTTTGCCTTCATATGGATTAGAGGATTTTTGGAACACTTGATATTTTTATATGTACTAATTTTGTCTATAATATATAATGTACAAATTTTGTCTATAATATACATCCTTTTTTTCCCTGAAAATTTGCTGAGGTTTTCATATTATAAAAGAAAAAACAATTTGCTGAGGTTTTCATATTTTACAAATATATAATTTATGGTTTTAAAGTTTAGGGTATTACTTTTAACGACGGTGATTGAGTCGTGGAATATTGAGTTTACGTCGTATGGTGAAAAATCCGACGTGGTTTCTTTTTTAAACGACGTTTTGTTTACCTGTTAGTCGTTTATTATATTTACAACGTCGTTAGTTACTTAACCCCGCCGTGGTTTGTTGTTGATATAAGAATATTTTATTATTTTAATTCAAAATTTTAAAAATAAATTTAAAATAAATTCAAAAAATTCAACTTCAACTCCTATGAAGTCATTGATATATTTTCTTCCCCCTAAACCCCAAAAAAATGCAGTTTGTGTAATAAAAGTTTAAAATGACCAACCAAAATAAAATTGTTTTTATGAGTCATAGCATCACTTATATAGTTTGATGGTTTAGGGTTTAGGGTTTGGGGTTTAGGGTTGTTATTTATTAGGGTTTATGGATAAAGTATAATTTTTGGGGTTTAGGGTTTATGCTTGTTATTTATTAGGATGTAAAACCATAAACAATTTTATAAAATTAAATTTTACAAATATATAATTTATGGTTTTAAAGTTTAGGGTATTACTTTTAACGACGGTGATTGAGTCATGGAATATTGAGTTTACGTCGTATGGTGAAAAATCCGACGTGGTTTCTTTTTTAAACGACGTTTTGTTTACCCGTTAGTCGTTTATTATTATTTACAACGTCGTTAGTTACTTAACCCCGCCGTGGTTTGTTGTTGATATAAGAATATTTTATTATTTTTAATTCAAAATTTTAAAAATAAATTTAAAATAAATTCAAAAAATTCAACTTCAACTCCTATTAAGTCATTGATATATTTTCTTCCCCCTAAACCCCAAAAAAATGCAGTTTGTGTAATAAAAGTTTAAAATGACCAACCAAAATAAAATTGTTTTTATTAGTCATAGCATCACTTATATAGTTTGATGGTTTAGGGTTTAGGGTTTGGGGTTTAGGGTTGTTATTTATTAAGGTTTATGGATAAAGTATAATTTTTGGGGTTTAGGGTTTATGCTTGTTATTTATTAGGATGTAAAACCATAAACAATTTTATAAAATTAAATTTTACAAATATATAATTTATGGTTTTAAAGTTTAGGGTATTACTTTTAACGACGGTGATTGAGTCATGAAATATTGAGTTTACGTCGTATGGTGAAAAATCCGACGTGGTTTCTTTTTTAAACGACGTTTTGTTTACCCGTTAGTCGTTTATTATTATTTACAACGTCGTTAGTTACTTAACCCCGCCGTGGTTTGTTGTTGATATAAGAATATTTTATTATTTTTAATTCAAAATTTTAAAAATAAATTTAAAATAAATTCAAAAAATTCAACTTCAACTCCTATTAAGTCATTGATATATTTTCTTCCCCCTAAACCCCAAAAAAATGCAGTTTGTGTAATAAAAGTTTAAAATGACCAACCAAAATAAAATTGTTTTTATTAGTCATAGCATCACTTATATAGTTTGATGGTTTAGGGTTTAGGGTTTGGGGTTTAGGGTTGTTATTTATTAGGGTTTATGGATAAAGTATAATTTTTGGGGTTTAGGGTTTATGCTTGTTATTTATTAGGATGTAAAACCATAAACAATTTTATAAAATTAAATTTTACAAATATATAATTTATGGTTTTAAAGTTTAGGGTATTACTTTTAACGACGGTGATTGAGTCGTGGAATATTGAGTTTACGTCGTATGGTGAAAAATCCGACGTGGTTTCTTTTTTAAACGACGTTTTGTTTACCTGTTAGTCGTTTATTATTATTTACAACGTCGTTAATTACTTAACCCCGCCGTGGTTTTTCATAGTTTTAACGCCTTTTTTGATTTTGCGTGGTACATAGTTTTACCACGACGTCCTTAATGTAATAAGCGTCATGTTTAATGTTAAATTTAACGACGCTTGTATTTTCGGTCGATGTTTTAAAAAGCGCGCTTTCTTAAAATATTCGCGGGACCTAAAATTTTCAGATTTGGCTCTTATTTTTATACTTCTAACCCTGAACCCTAAAATTTTCTGATTTCGCGCAACATAACATTTCGCTCTCTCACTTCATCTCTAATTCAAAGTTGGGCCAGGCTGTGTCAAATCCAATTTGGTCATAATCTGTGAGCTCTGCCAACCTGTAAGTACAAACCCTCTCTTCCCCTTGTAAATTCATTGAATGATATATTACGTTGTTTTGTTAAAGGGTTTTAGGTATATGTTTTGCGATCTGTTAATAATGTTGTTGGAGGTATGGGTTTTAGGATTTTCTGTTTAATGTTTTCTTGATCACTCTCTGTTATGTTGAATATGGAATGGATTTCATTTTGTCGGATCTTTTAATCACTCTCTGTTATGTTGAATTGGGAATGGATTTATTGTTTTCATGCTTAGTATATGTTGGTTTCATGTATATGTTGGTTTCTTGCTTGGTTTCATGTCTATGTTGTGTTCTTAATAGGGTTTTGGGATCTTGAAAATAAACTGGATATCGACGCGTTTTCAGGCATACGACGACGGTTTTTACTTTAAACCGTCGTTTTTATTACTTATACACGACGGTGTTATTTAACTACCGTCGTGGTTATAATTAGACGACGTAAAATCCGTCGTCTATATATGTCAAATACGTCTGTTTTTGTTTAAAAACCGTCGTCTCTGTTGTATATTACTTGCTATTAGACTTTATATAATCTGCTATAGTGATGGTCATTGCTTGTCTTTTCACTTTATTATATATAATAGGGTATAGTGTCGGAGATGGATAAGTCATGGATGCACTCGGATAGAAGATCGAAGGCATATGAGTTAGGGGTGAAAGCATTTTTGAACTTTTCTGTAGAAAATCTTCTAACTACCACACATATCCGTTGTCCATGTGTTTAAATGTGTTAATTTGAAATTGTTTGGGGTTGGAATTATAAGGGATCACTTATACTTTAATGGAGTTGACCAAAGCTATAAGAATTGGACATTTCACGGAGAACTTGGGAAGCAGCTACTAATGCTAGTAGAAATGTTGAAGAAGATGATGACCATAGTAGGTACAGTTTTGTGTCTGAAGAAATAGAGATGGATGATAATGATTTTGGTGATTTTGGATCTGATCCTTATGAGTTTGCCAATGTGATTGGGGATGGAGATCAACCATTGTACCCTGGGTTGTAGAAAGTACACGAAGTTATCGGCATTAGTGAAGTTGTATAATTTGAAGGCAAAATATGGGATGAGTGATGTCTGTTTTACAGAATTATTGATACTTCAAGGCGATTTGCTTCCAGACGGAAATACAATACCGGCCTCTATGTATGAGGCAAAAAAGACTTTGTGTGCATTGGGGCTGAGTTATGAGAAAATGCACGCATGCCCCAATGATTGCATCTTGTATAGGAAGGAGTATGAGGATTTAACTCATTGTCCTAATTGTGGTATCTCAAGGTGGAAGGAAGGCAAAGATTCAATCTTGAAAGAGGGTGTGCCAGCGAAGGTGGTGTGGTATTTTCCTCCAATTCCAAGGTTTAAAAGGATGTTTCGATCACATGAGACCGCTAAGAGTTTGACTTGGCATGCTGCTAGAAAATCAATTGACGGTTATATGTCTCATCCAGCGGATTCCCCGTCTTGGAAACTTCTTGATGATAAATGGCCCGAGTTTGGTAATGAGCCAAGAAACTTGAGATTGGCTCTTTCATCTGATGGATTCAATCCCCACAGTTCTCTAAGTAGCAGATATAGTTGCTGGCCAGTTATCTTAGTTACATATAATCTCCCTCCATGGCTGTGCATGAAACGAAAGTTCATGATGTTGACCTTATTGATTTCCGGTCCTAAACAGCCCGGAAATGATATAGACGTCTACTTGGAGCCTTTGATTGATGATTTAAAATCTTTGTGGGATGGGATTGGAGGAGTGTATGATGCACATAATGGAGAATACTTTACACTCAGAGCTGCATTAATGTGGGACAATTAATGATTTCCCCGCCTATGGAAACTTATCTGGTTGTGTTGTTAAAGGATATAAAGCTTGTCCAATATGCGGCGATGATACACCTAGTCACAGGTTGAAAAATGGCCACAAAATTTGTTACATTGGGCATAGAAAATGGTTACCGATCAATCATCCATATAGGAGGCAACGTGCAGCTTTTAATGGGGAAACCTGAATATGGCACGCCTCCTGAGCCATTAACCGGAGAAGAAGTGCTGCATATGGTTGAAGATGGTGACAGAGTTTGTTGGAAGAAGAAATCAATATTCTTTGATCTCGAGTATTGGAAATACCTTCCTGTGAGGCATGTCCTAGATGTTATGCACATTGAGAAGAAACGTTTGCGATAGTATCATTGGTACATTGCTGGAGATCCCTGGAAAAAATAAAGATGGGATTGCTGCTCGATTAGATTTATTGAACATGGGGGTCAAAACTGATTTGCAACCCGAGTATGGAGAAAGACGTACTCGTTTGCCTCCCGGGCCTTGGAATTTGTCAAGAGCAGAGAAGAGAGAGGTTTGCAATTCTTTCTATGGTATGAAGGTCCCTGAAGGTTATTCTTCAAATATAAAAAATCTTGTATCTTTACAAGATTCAAGACTTCTTGGCCTTAAATCACATGATTGTCATACCTTAATGCAACAATTGCTCCCTGTGGCAATTCGTTCTGTTTTGGAGAAGCCTGCAAGGTATGCAATAACTCGTTTGTGCTTCTTCTTCAATGCTATATGTGCAAAGACTGTTGATGTTTCCAAGCTAGATAAGTTGGAAGAAGATGTAGTAGTTACTTTGTGTTTGCTTGAGAAGTACTTTCCCCCTTCATTCTTTGATATCATGGTTCATCTAGTAGTACATCTTGTCAGAGAAGTTCGTCTGTGTGGGCCAGTATATTTTAGATGGATGTATCCGTTTGAAAGATATATGAAAGTGCTAAAGGGGTATGTTCAGAATCGTACTCGTCCCGAAGGTGCATTGCTGAGCGGTATATAGCTGAAGAAGCTGTAGAGTTTTGTACCGAGCATTTATCTGATGTTAGTACAGTTGGAGTGCCTTCAAGCCAAAAGATGGGAGTTTCAAAAGCCATTATCAGGTTGCACAGTGAGCGTAGTTGATCGGGACCTGTTGAACCAAGCACATCTATATGTCTTGGAGAATACGGAGGAAGTCCTACCTTATATCGAGTACGTATGAGTTTTATTCTTTAAGTTTCCATTTTAAATTATTTCTTATGTTTATCTTATAGTTTGGGGACCGTAATACTTGAATTTTGTGTGTCATGTAGGCAACATATGATCCACATCCAGACCGCTTATCCAAAATTTAGAAAGAGAACAAAGTGGCTGCAGGATAAGCACAATAGCACTTTCATTCAATGGCTACGCTTCAAGGTATATGTTATTGAATAACATATTGGACTTTTAATTTTCTTCTTTCTATGTTAGATTGAATTAAGTTATGATTAATTTGCAGGTTCAAAGTGAACTTAATGAGGACAATCATGGCGTATCAGAAAATTTAAGGTGGCTAGCAGCTGGTCCAAACATGGCAGTGCCATTATATAGGAGCTATCTCATTAAAGGTATTAAATTCAACATCAAGGCACAAGATGATGTGCGGACAACTCAAAATAGTGGAGTTTATTTACTTGCACATACTATGCAAGTTGCTAGTGCCAAGGATAAAAACCCAATTCTCTCAAATATGGGTTTCTATGGTGTCATTCAAGAAATTTGGGACCTTGACTACCAAAAGTTTACAATCCCAGTCTTTAGGTGTGATTGGATTGATAATACTTCTGGTCTTGTAGTGGACGAACTTGGATTTACCCTTGTAGATTTGAGTAAAATTGGACATAGGAATGACCAATTTGTTTTGGCTTCTCAAGTCAAACAAGTATTTTTTGTTGACGACCCGATGCATCGTGGGTTGGTCGGTAGTGTTATCAATGCCTAATAGAGAATATAATGATGTTATTGGTGATGATGTCTTAGGTGATGTGAGAATTGAGTGTGAGCCATTTACTAGGGGGATGCCAAAATTTTGACACATTTGATGAAGTGGTGGTTGAGTTAGGGAGTCAAAATATTCGAGATGGGTGTGAAGATATATGGGTTGAATGATGCTTTATGTAATTGGCAGTGTATGACATTAATTTTGTAATATATTGTAATGTGATTTCTTCACTTTCATTATACAGGTTTTTGGCCACAAAACAATCAGTACAAAAATTACTGGTTCCAGATTACAAACACGACGGTTTTGATAAAGAACCCGCCATGTAATTCAACATAACACGTCTCCAATCCCATAACACCGACGTCTAAAAGACGAGAACTTTAACCTGAACGTTACAAAAGACGACGTCGTCATGAATTTACCACGTCGCATGTTCTTTCATAAACGAAGTGGAAAAGGATGAATTCACGACGGTATTTGAAATCCATTAAATTTGTCGACGTTAAGATTTATGAATTAGACGACGTTAATTTTTTTAATGAAGACGTATAAATTATTAAACACGACGGTCTTTTTCATGGTACCGACGTTGTATATAAACGACAACGTCGTCCTCATAAATTACTGTGTCGTAATTAATGACCCCATCATTTTTTTTAAAAAAAAAAAAAAAAAAAAAAAAAAAAAAAAAAAAAAAAAAAAAAAAAAAAAAAAAAAAAAAAAAAAAAAAAAAAAAAAAAAAAAAAAAAAAAAAAAAAAAAAAAAAAAAAAAAAAAAAAAAAAAAAAAAAAAAAAAAAAAAAAAAAAAAAAAAAAAAAAAAAAAAAAAAAAAAAAAAAAAAAAAAAAAAAAAAAAAAAAAAAAAAAAAAAAAAAAAAAAAAAAAAAAAAAAAAAAAAAAAAAAAAAAAAAAAAAAAAAAAAAAAAAAAAAAAAAAAAAAAAAAAAAAAAAAAAAAAAAAAAAAAAAAAAAAAAAAAAAAAAAAAAAAAAAAAAAAAAAAAAAAAAAAAAAAAAAAAAAAAAAAAAAAAAAAAAAAAAAAAAAAAAATTTTTCCTTTTTTGTAGTAGTGGGTGTTAAATTTAGCACCATTAATAAGATAGCTCCTATATGATGGCACTACCATGCTTTGACCAGCTGCTAGCCACCTCAAATTTTCTGATACGCCATTATGCTCTTCCCCGTTAAGTTCACTTTGAACCTGCAAATTAATCATATATATCTTTATTCAACCTAACATATAGAAAGGAAGAAAATTAAAAGTTGAATATGTCATTCAATAAGATATATACCTTAAAGTGTAGCCATTGAATGAAAGTGTTATTGTGCTTATCTTGCAGGTACTTTGTTCTTTTTCTAAATTTTGGATAAGTGCTGATGTGGATCATAGAGTAAACTACACAAACTTAAACATCGTAAATTAAATAATGTGTAAATTAAATAACCATGACGGTAAGTGAAAACCGTCGTCGTATGTATCAATTACGTCAGTAGAAAACAGAAACCTAGAAAATTAACAATTGCCAATATCAACTTAAAAGCATGCTTTAGCAGAAATAAAAATAACATGAAATGCAGAGAGAGAGAAAGAGAGAGTGAAGAAAGATTGAAAAAAAAACGACACTATCTGAATCCACATTACCGTCGTGGTACTAGAATTCCAACGATGGTTTATTTAAAAAACAGACGTAATATGAAGTTAAAACGACGGTAAGTAAAAACTGTCGTCTTATGATTTTATTACGTTGGTATAAAATAGAGCCCTCCAAAATTAACAAATGCAATTACAAACTTAAAAGCATGCATTAGTAGAAATGCAGATAACATTAATTGCAGATAGAGAGAGAGAGAGAGAGAGAGAGAGAGAGAGAGAGAGAGAGAGAGAGAGAGAGAGAGAGAGAGAGAGAAATAGAGAGTGGGACAGATTGAGTGAAGAAAGATTGAAAAAAAATAAAATTGGCAAACTCTGAATCCCCCATACCGTCGTGGTATTTAAATGACGACGACGTCATATTAAAAAAACAGACGTGGTATGGTATTTAATACGTCATTAACCAAAAAACGACGTCTTATGTCATATCTAATGACGATATTGAACCCAGTGATGCAGATGTAATTCCAAATAAGAAAGAATTTCAAATTTCAGAGAGTTTACCATTTCATCTTGCTGTTCTGCATCCTTGGATTTCTGTTTTACGAAATAAAGAAATATAGATAAGACAACTTGTACAAAATGAAATATTGCACAAACGTACCGTTGTGGTAAGGAATACACATGACGGTTAATAAAAGAAAATGCCGTCTAATTTAAATTGAGACGATGGTAAATAAAAGACGTCGTTGTGGGTTGTTTCTAACATCTGCAATTAAGATAACGACGTCTAATTGGTTTTCAAAAGTGGTATGCAGAGTTCATAGAAGTTACCATTTCTTGTTGCTTTTCTCCATCTTTGGCATTGTAATCCGCAAAATTAAGGGCTCTAACATCCAGCGTCCCAAATCAGCTTGCTTTATTCGACATTGGATTTTTGGGACTTTGCTCAAGACCTTGGATAGTTGTCAGTGTCAGCACGCTTGTATCAAAATTTGGAATTAGTTGGCGCAGCTGATTCAGCAAATTCTCCCTCTCAGCTTCTACCAATTGCTTGGTTCTAGCCTCCATCTTCAAGGTCTCTTCTTTAAGGACATCTCTTACACAAGGTAAATTGAAGTATTGCCTAGTGGAAATCCTAGTCCCAACACCTCTAACTCTCCCTGGATGCTCGGGACCCAAAGCCATAGTCAACACATCATTACTTCCAGAGACAGTAAGAGTGCCTTCACTGAATTGTTTTTGCAATTATCCTAATTAACACAAAGACACATTAAAGTCAATAAAAACAGAAAGTTAGTTCCATATGCAAGTTTAATTAAAATTCCAATGCAATTTAATACAAATTTAAAACAGAGTGAAGTGAATTTAGGCTTACAATTAATTTTGCTTTCTCTGCAACCTTTTGATTGGGGATGCTATCGTGTTTGTCTTCTCTAGCTTTCTTCCACAAGGTAGATCGATCAATTTCTACCTTTGGCATGCTTTCTTCCAAATCATCCTCCAAACCAACATATCCTTTTCGAGACAATCGATGATTGTACTCGCATTCTCTCTCCTCTGTGCTTATTCAGCATGGACAAACTCAAATTGTTTGGATAACCTTGAAGCTACAAAGGCATCCTAGTCTTCTTTCTCTATGAATTTATATAATTCAGGGGGTTGTCTTAACTTCTCCTTCTCAGTGATGAATGGAAGGATATGATGCCTTATTAATGTAGACTTGAAATCCTTCCATTTCTTGCCAGCAGATGATAACACCATTTTTTTACCCCCTTGCCCTACCATATAAGCCATGTCAATGGCTTTCCAAATCTGCTCTTTTATATCCTTGGGGATTTCAGTCCATTTCTTGTCCACAATTGGGACTCTGTGTAACAACCCGGTCCTTAAATTAATATTTAATTATTAATTTATTCCAGTAAAAGACAATTATACCCCTAGAATACTTTATTGGTTTAAAAGTTGACTTTTTGACCGGGAAGCAATTTGAGGATTTCAATTATATCGTTGCGTAGAGCGCATCAAGGTGAGTCCGTAGACACGTAATGGGCTCAAATTGGAGTTGTATTGAGAGGGTTATGCTCAAAATATGTTCAGGGGCAAAATAGTAAATTGCGAAGTCAGATTTTTTAAAACTGGAATCTCTCTTCTCTCTCTGGAACACGCGACGGCTCCCCTCTCTCCCGATTTTTTTTCTCCAGCCGATACCCCGTCCCTTTGCAGCCGCCGCCTTCGGCCACCACAGGTCACGAGACCGGTCACAAAATGACCGGCCTAGCTCTGCCATCACGCCCAGGCCTTGTTCCGCCGTCAGTCGTGGCCAGCACGTCGGGAAACCATGTTTTCCGATCGATTTTTGACAGAACTTTGGCCAGCGGTTTCTCCCTCCTCCGGCCACCAATTCGGTCGTGTGAGGTATGAATTTCTAGCTATTTTTCACGTTCTAGCTGATGGTTGAGTAGGATTTGAGGAATTTCTAGCGTGAGAGGGTTAATTTCAAACCTAAGGTTCGGCCGGTTTTGAGATCACAGTTTCAGCCACTTCCGGCCACTTTTTGGGGTAGGTCCAAGAACAAAAGTGGTTCCAAATAGGGTGTTTTACCCAGGATACGAGTCTTGAGCCGAGATGTTGAGGTTTTCCGGCGACCGGAATCGCTTAGGACACCCAGGCGCTGCCGACGCGTGTGGCGGCGCGTGGGCAGATTGGTCGAGACCCCATTCAGTTCCAGAATAATCCTTGGGTCGTCATGAGCGCGTAGGAATTCGCGGATCCTAATTCGGATGCCGTTTGAACCCCGAACGGATCTCGCCTAGTGTGTGAGTTCCGGGTTCACTAGTTTTGCACCGTTGGGTCGTAACCATTTTCAAGTATGTTGATTTAGGTATTTCCAGGATCGTATAGTATTTGACGGATTGTAAAACGGAGTCCCGGATACTCCGGAAAACGTCAGCCCTAGAGTATGTTTTACGGTTAATTGAACCAGTTACAGGTCAGGGGCAGGTGAAAGAACTACGTGTGGCTTGATCCCTCAGTAAGGGTACGTAGGCAGCCTACAGTTACTAGGCGCAGCCACGAGATAGGGCCCCAGAGTTTGTGTTATCGCTTCCAGGGCATTTTGGTCATTTACGACCCACAGGCACCAGGTGTTAGTTTTGCACAGGATTCGACCCGGATTCCAAAGTGGAATTTGGGTCGGGTTGTCTCAATTGGTATCAGAGTATTAGGTTAACTTCCTGTAGACACTGCATTATATGTGCATCCGTATTTTCAGAATTTTTGGACAATTATTATGTTGTTTTATTCCAATTGTTATTTTATTATGTTATTTTATTTTATTGCATTGGTGTGACTGAGAAAACAGATATCCAGAAGGATTTGAAAAATTTGTTGAGGTTTTTATAGGAAAAATATATTATACAGGTTTTTGTATATATATATATATATATATGGATATATTTTAAGCTCAATTGAGAACCAGTTTATTAAATAAGTTTAGTTGAGAACCAGTTTATTAAAAGTTTATGTAAATAACAGATTATGGTTTTCAAACCCACCACAGCGTACCCCCCAGTTGCCTTAAGACAGTTAGTTATTTTGCCACACGAGTTTTATGGTATTCATATACCAATATGTTGCCTTCAGATATGATGATGTCCACGGACATCCAGGTTGCCTTCGGTAAATATGTTGCCTTCAGATATGATGATGTCCACGAACATCCAGGTTGCCTCGGTGAATATGTTGCCTTCAGATTTTGCCAGTTGCCTTGAGACAGTTGGTTATTTTACCCCACGAGTTTGGGGACACCTGAACCTTGCAGTGCCAGGTTGCAACTCGGATTGAGGTGTGTCTTTGAGACCTGCCAGTTTGCGGATCAGGCTGACGACGGTCCCCTGAGTCCTATCAGTTTGCGGCTCGGGTTGACTTTGTGTCACCGAGACATGCCAGAGGAATTGACGGTTATCAGGAATTGACGGATCAGATATGGGGGTACGCCTAGGTGGAGAGGATTTTATACAGTTGCCATTATTTTCTTAAGCATTACATTTATATATATATATATATATATACATGTTTAGTTATGAATTTTAAATGAGTTAGATACAAGTTTATTCAGAGCTGGTCTATTTTATTTTAATCCAGTTGCTTAAGTTATCTTATTTTATTTTATTTAAGTTGTTGGTTTTTTTTTTCTTTTATTATTGGATATGGTACTAAACAGTTTCAGTATTTCTAGCATATTTTGCCCTACGAGTCTTAGAGTTATCCAGACCATGGGAGCGAGGGTTGCGGATCAGGTTGACCAGATGTCTCCTCAGTCCAGCCAAGATTACAGAGCAGGATGAATTATATATTTAATCTTTTTTAGCAAGAATATTGTTTGGTGAGTCATGCATCAGTAGAAATGCACGAGTTAGAATGTTTGAGGTTGCCAGGGTATTATTGTTGATATGACAGTTGGGATGAATTTTATGAGCAGATTGATTTATTTGAATTGTTGCAACCTGAGATTTGCGTGCTATGATGCTTGATTCCTTTTGGATATAATCCGATACATGCTGGCAGTTGTGATATATATATATATATATATTTAAACATATATGCTTGTTTTACAGGTAGAATGTTTTTGGGGAATGTTTAGTTTACAGGGGGAACTCTGCCGAATTTTAGGTAGAAGTCGCATTTGAATTTCATTTAATTTTAGTTAAAAGGGCAAATTAGTCTTTTGTGCCCAATAGTAGCCAGGTGTCGGACACTCATGGGAAAAAAGGATTTTAGCTGATTATCAGATTAAGGGTAATAGAGTTTTAAGTTTATCAGAAATTCAGTTAATTAGCAGATCTTTTCAGAGTTTTATATTTCCTTAGGCTAGCTCAGGTATTCAGATATAAATGTGTGACCCTCAGATTTTATTGATTGCCCTATAGATACAGTTATTGAGACGCAAGTAGTGAGTACAGTACTAGAAGGGCAAACTTGAGAACCCGAGTAGCAGTCGTGGGCCCAGTACCATCATCCCCTCCAATGAAGGGTAAGTAAATTTCGAGGACGAAATTTTTATAAGGGGGATAGATTGTAACAACCCGGTCTTTAACTTAATATTTAATTATTAATTTATTCCAATAAAAGACAATTATACCCCTAGAATACTTTATTGGTTTAAAAGTTGACTTTTTGACCGGGCAGTAATTGGGGGATTTCAATTATATCATTGCGTAGAGCGCATCAAGGTGAGTCCGTAAACACGTAATGGGCTCAAATCGGAGTTGTATTGAGAGGGTTACGCTCAAAATATGTTTAGGGGCAAAATAGTAAATTGCGAAGTCAGATTTTTTAAAACAGGAATCTCTCTTCTTTCTCTGGAACACGCGACAGCTCATCTCTCTCTCGATTTTTTTTCTCCAGCCGATACCCCCTCCCTTTGCAGCCGCCGCCTCCAGCCACCACAGGTCACGAGATCGATCACAAAATGATCGGCCTAGCTCCGCCATCACGCCCAAGCCTTGTTCCGCCGTCAGTCGTGGCCAGCACGTCGGAAAACCATGTTTTCCGACCAATTTTTGACAGAACTTTGGCCAGCGGTTTCTCCCTCCTCCTGCCACCAATCCGGTCGTGTGAGGTATGGATTTCTAGCTATTTTTCATGCTCTACCTGATGGTTGAGTAGGATTTGAGGAATTTCTAGCGTGAGAAGGTTAATTTCGAACCTAGGGTTCGGTCGGTTTTGAGATCACGGTTTCAGCCACTTCTGGCCACTTTTTGGGGTAGGTCCAAGAACAAAAGTGGTTTCAAATAGGGTGTTTTACCCAGGATAGGAGTCTTGAGCCGAGATGTTGAGGTTTTCCGGCGACCGGAATCGCTTAGGACACCAACACGTTGCCGGCGTGTGTGGCGGCGCGTGGGCAGATTGGTCGAGACCCCATTCAGTTCCAGAATAATCCTTGGGTCGTCATGAGCGCGTAGGAATTCACGGATCTTAATTCGGATGCCTTTTGAACCCCGAACGGATCTCACCCAGTGTGTGAGTACCGGGTTCACTAGTTTTGCACCGTTGGGTCGTAACCATTTTCAAGTATGTTGATCTAGGTATTTCTAGGATCGTATAGTATTTGACGGATCGTAAAACGGAGTCCCGGATACTCCGAAAACGTCAGCCCTATAGTATGTTTTTACGGTTAATTGAACCAGTTACAGGTCAGGGGCAGGTGAAAGAACTACGTGTGGCTTGATCCCTCAGTAAGGGTACGTAGGTAGCCTACAGTTACCAGGCGCAGCCACGAGATTGGGCCCCAGAGTTTGTGTTATCGCTTCCAGGGCATTTTGGTCGTTTACGACCCACAGGCACCAGGTGTCAGTTTTGCACAGGATTCGACCTGGATTCCAAAGTGGAATTTGGGTCAGGTCGTCTCACTCTGGACCCTGCCAGCACACCAATGTAGGACTTCATCTCAATATGTGCAAGGCCATATGGTTTCCCCCTTTTGTTGTACTCAATAACTAGCTTGATTTTCTGCAATTTTCTCTTCACAACACGGGGCATTGTGTTCATACCACGACTAGACTTTGGCTCCTCAGAAAATGTTGTCGAGCTGCCTAGTTCTGTTTCAGCAGATGAAACAAATTTCATCTTCTTCGAGGGCCTGGTTTGAGGTTTTTGTTCAAGCTAGAATCCTTACTTGGCACTTGAGAAACCATGGTTACAGAGAAATCAGACCTGCAAGTAGAGAAAAGATAAAATAAAAGTCAATAAAAAAATGACCTAGTATAAAATTTCATATGACGGAATTTAAAAACAACCGACGCAATAAGATTGATATAACGACAGTAGTTAACTACCAATGTGGTTCGAAAGTAAAACGACGTAAAATTTTGAATTTTCGCGATGGTGGTAAGAAAGCGTCGTGGTTTTACATTACAAATGACGTAAAATATAAAATACCATCGTCTTATTAAAATGAAATACAAAATACAGAGCAATGTTTCCAAACCTTTTGGTTCTTGTCTTTATATTTGGAAAAACTTAAAACTTCAAATGATTTTCAACAGGAAAAAAGTAAAAATATTTTTCAACAAACGTCGTGGTTTTCAATTACAACGACGTTAGTAATAAAATACCGTCGTCTTATTAATATGAAAGTCATATACTGTTCCAAGACCATTTGGTTTACTACAAACACAAAAAAACAGAGTAGATTTTATCATCGTGGTCAATGACACTTTGTTCTTTGTCAGTAGATTTTATCCAAAAAGTAAAATGATTTTCGCATGAACAGGAACAAAGATGGGAAATGCAAAACAGATTATATGCATATGCAAAACAGGAACAAAGATGAGAAATGCTTACCTTTTGCTTTCAATGAAAATTTTTGCTTGGAGTTGCAAAATAGGAACAAAAATTATTTTTCAGGGACGAAGACGAAGAGGAGAGGAAGCCGATGAGATTCAGACACGGCGCTTTGGGAAGTAAAAATAAGGGCACCGTTAAATTTTTTCTTGGGTGTGGAAATAGTATAACTATAGGTCAGGAAAGGCGAAAAGTTTAAAATATTAACGAACCGTTTCATAACAGGATGCTATTAATGACAACCGCCCTAGTAAATTATTTTACACAGTGGTAAATATGTAGTTTATGCCCTGGTTAAACCGTCGTTTATTTCTGGTCGCCTTTTTCACTTTTTGTAATAGTGCACCAAATGACTCCTCCCACCATATTATGATGTTCCCCAAGTTTTGGACTCAATCTGATATTGATTGGTCCATGAAATTGGACAATTCAGGTTCGTACAAAGTTCGTTCTAAAATGAAGTGGTTGGTGAATTGCATAGTTTTAGAGATCAGATTTCACTCAAAGCGCACCAAATGACTCCTCCCACTATATTACGATGTTGCCCAAGTTTTGGACTTAATCTGATATCCATTGGTCCATGAAATTGGACAATTCAGATTCGTACGATTTTCGTTCTAAATGGAATGGTTGGTGTATTGTATAGTTTTAGCAACTGGATTTCACTCAAAACTAACCAAATGACTCCTCCCACCATAAAATGATGTTCCCCAATTTTTGGGCTCAATTTGATATCGATTGGTCCAAGAAATTGGACAATTCAGGTTCGTACGAAGTTCGTTCTAAAATGGAGTGGTTGGTGAATTGCATAGTTTTAGAGATTAGATTTCACTCATAGCGCACCAAATGACTCCTCCCACCATATTATGATGTTTCCCAAGTTTTGGACTCAATTCGATATCGATTGGTCTATGAAATTGGACAATTCTGATTCGTACGATTTTCATTCGATAATGGAATGGTTGGCGTATTGCATAGTTTTAGCAATTGGATTTCACTCAAAACTAACCAAATGACTCCTCCCACCATATTATGATGTTCCCCAAGTTTTGGGCTCAATCCGATATCGATTGGTCCAAGAAATTGGATAATTCAGGTTCGTACGAAGTTCGTTCTTAAATGGAGTGGTTGGTGTATTGCATAGTTTTAGAGATTGGATTTCACTCAAAACACCAAATGACTCCTCCCACCATATTATGATGTTGCCCAAGTTTTGGACTCAATCCGATATCGATTGGTCCATGAAATTGGACAATTCAGGTTCGTACGATTTTCGTTCTGAAATGGAGTGGTTGGTATTGCATAGTTTTAGCAATTGGATTTCACTCAAAACCAACCAAATGACTCCTCCCACCATATTATGATGTTCCCCAAGTTTTGGGCTCAATCCGATATCGATTGGTCCGAGAAATTGGACAATTCAGGTTCGTACAAAGTTCGTTCTAAAATGGAGTGGTTGGTGTATTGCATAGTTTTAGAGATTGGATTTCACTCAAAACACCAAATGACTCCTCACCATATTATGGTGTTGCCCCAAGTTTTGGACTCAATCCGATATCGATTGGTCCATGAAATTGGACAAATCAGGTTCGTAGATTTTCGTTCTAAATGGAATGGTTGGTGTATTGCATTTTAGCAATTGGATTTCACTCAAAACCAACCAAATGACTCCTCCCACCATATTATGTTGTTCCCCAAGTTTTGGGCTCAATCCGATATCGATTGGTCTAAGTAATTGGACTATTCAGTTTGTAGAAGTTCGTTCTGAAATGGAGTGGTTGGTGTGTTGCATAGTTTTGGAGATTGGATTTCCCTCAAAACCACCAAATGACTACTCCTACCATATTATGATGTTGCAATACACCAACCACTCCATTTCAGAACGAACTTCGTACGAACATGAATTGTCCGATTTCATGGACCAATCGATATCGGATTGAGTCCAAAACTTGGGGAACATAATAATATGGTGGGAGGAGTCATTTGGTGTGTTTTGAGTGAAATCCAATGGATAAAACTATGCAATACACCAACCACTCCATTTCAAAACGAACTTCGTACGAACCTGAATCGTCCAATTTCGGACCAATCGATATCGGATTGAGTCCCAAACTTGGGGAACATCATAATATGGTGGGAGGAGTCATTTGGTGGGTTTTGAGTGAAATCCAATGGATAAAACTATGCAATACACCAACCAAACCATTTCAGAACGAACTTATACGAACCTGAATTGTCCAATTTCATGGACCAATCGATATCGGATTGAGTCCAAAACTTTATACGAACCTGAGTTGGTTTGGAATGAAATCCAATCCCTAGAACTATGCAATATACCAATCACTCCATTTCAGAACGAACTTTATACGAACCTGAGTTGTACGATTTCATGGACCAATCGATATCGAATTGAGTCCAAAACTTGGGGAACACCATAATATGGTGGGAGGAGTCATTTGGTGGGTTTGGAGTGAAATCCAATCTCTAAAACTATGCAATACACCGAACACTCCATTTCATAACGTTCTTCATACGAACTTGAATTGTCTGATTTCGTGGACCAATCGATATCGGATTGAGTCCAAAACTTGGGGAACATCATAATATGGTAGGAGGACTCATTCGCTGGATTTGGAGTGAAATCCAATTTCTAGAACTATGCAATACACCAACCACTCCATTTCACAACGAACTTCATACGAACCTGAATTGTCCGATTTCATGGACCAATCGATGTCGGATTGAGTCCAAAACTTGGGGAACACCATAATAGGGTGGGAAGAGTCATTTGGTGGATTTGGAGTGAAATCCATTTTCTAGAACTATGCAATACACCAACAACTCCATTTCATAACGAACTTTGTACGAACATAAATTGTCCGATTTAATGGACCAATCAATATCGGATTTGAGTCCAAAACTCGGGGAACACCATAATATGGTGGGAGGAGTCATTTGGGGGGTTTTGAATGAAATCCAATCTCTAGAACTATGCAATACACCAACCACTCTATTTCACAGCGAACTTCGTACGAACATGAATTGTCCAATTTCATGGACCAATCGATGTCGGATTGAGTCCAAAACTTGGGGAAGATCAGAATATGGTGCGAGTAGTCATTTGGTGGGTTTTGAGGGAAATCCAATGGCTGAAACTATACAATACACCCACCACTCCATTTCAAAACGTACTTCGTACGAACTTGAATTGTCTGATTTCATGGACCAATCGATATCGGATTGAGTCCAAAACTTGGGGAACATCATAATATAGTAGGAGGAGTCATTTGGTGGATTTGGAGTCAAATCCAATTTCTTGAACTATGCAATACACCAACCACTCTATTTCACAACGAACTTCGTACGAACCTGAATTGTCCGATTTCATGGACCAATCGATATCGGATTGAGTCCAAAACTTTGGGAACATCGTAATATGGTGGGAGGAGTCATTTGGGGGGTTAGTACTGAAATCCAATCTCCAGAACTATGCAATACACCAACTGATCCATATCATAACGTACTTCGTACTAACCTGAATTGTCCGATTTCATGGACCAATCGATATCGGATTGAGTCCAAAACTTGGGGACCCTTGTAATATAGTCGGAGGAGACATTTGGTGGGTTTTGAGTGAAATCCAATGGATAAAACTATGCAATACACCAACCACTCCATTTCAAAATGAACTTCATTCAAACTTGAATTGTCCGATTTCATGGACCAATCGATATCGAATTGACTCCAAAACTTGGGGAACATCATAATATGGTGGATGGAGTCGTTTGGTGGGTTCAGAGTGAAATCCAGTCTCTTGGACTATACAATACATCAACCACTCCATTTCATAAAGAACTTCGTGCGATCCTGAATTGTACGATTTCATGGACCAATTGATATCGGATTGAGTCAAAAACTTGGGGAACATCGTACTATGGTGGGAGGAGTCATTTGGTGGGTTTTGAGTGAAATCCAATTGCTAAAACTATAAAATACCCCAACCACTCAATTTCAAAATGAACTTCGTACGAACTTGAATTGTCCGATTTCAGGGACCAATCGATATCGGATTGAGTCCAAAACTTGGGGAACAACATAATATGGTGGGAGGAGTCATTTGGTGTGTTTTGAGTGAAATCCAAAGGCTAAAACTATGCAATACACCAACCACTCCATTTCAGAACGAACTTCGTACGAACCTGAATTGTCCAATTTCGTGGACCAATCGATATCGGATTGAGTCCAAAACTTGGGGAACATCATAATATGGTGGGAGGAGTCATTTGGTGGGTTTTGAGTGAAATCCAATGGATAAAACTATGCAATACCCCAACCACTCCATTTCAAAACGAACTTCATGCAAACCTGAATTGTCCAATTTCATGGACCAATCGATATCGGATTGAGTCCAAAACTTGGGGAACATCATAATATGGTGGAAGGAGTCATTTGGTGGGTTTGGAGTGAAATCCAATGTCTAAAACTATGCAATACACCAACCACTCCATTTCAGAACGAACTTCGTACGAACCTGAATTGTCCGATTTCGTGGACCAATCGATATCGTATTGAGTCCAAAACTTGGGGAACATCATAATATGGTGGGAGGAGTCATTTGGTGGTTTTGGAGTGAAATCCAATTTCTAAAACTATGCAATACACCAACCACTCCATTTCAGAACGAACTTCGTACGAACCTGAATAGTCCGATTTCGTGGACCAATCGATATCGGATTGAGTCCAAAACTTGGGGAACAACATAATATGGTGGGAGGAGTCATTTGGTTGGTTTGGAGTGAAATCCAATGGCTAAAACTATGCAATACACCAACCACTCCATTTCAGAACGAACTTCGTACGAACCTGAATAGTCCGATTTCATGGACCAATCGATATCGGATTGAGTCCAAAACTTGGGGAACACCATAATATGGTGGGAGGAGTCATTTTGGTGGTTTTGAGTGAAATCCAATCTCTAAAACTATGCAATACACCAACCACTCCATTTCAGAGCGAACTTCGTACGAACCTGAATTGTCCGATTTCATGGACCAATCGATATCGGATTGAGTCCAAAACCTGGGGAACATCATAATATGGTGGGAGGAGTCATTTGGTGGATTTGGAGTGAAATCCATTTTCTAAAACTATGCAATACACCAACCACTCCATTTCAGAACGAACTTCGTACGAACCTGAATTGTCCAATTTCATGGACCAATCGATATCGGATTGAGTCCAAAACTTGGGGAACATCATAATATGGTGGGAGGAGTCATTTGGGGGGTTTTGAGTGAAATCCAATGGCTAAAACTATGCAATACACCAACCACTTGATAACTCATATATTTATACATTTATACCATCCATTTCTAGTCTATGTGTGATGTTTTTGAGTTAATCAAGTTTCATTTTACTGTATTTTGTGTTAGTATGCAGTTGCACCTACTTTAGGATCAAGTTGAAGGCAAAAGAAATCAAAACATATCATTTTTGGAGCTGGCCATTATTCAAACGTGGAAACAAATTTCGTGACCTGTTTTGAAGTCCAAATAAAGATCCAAAGTGAACTTGGCTTTTTTAAAGACTAAGAGTAGAATAGGAAAGCAATGAGGATTTCTAGCGTGATTTGGATGTGCCAAATAAGGCAAAAACATGCAAAATAAAGGCTGATTTGTTAGGATCTCTTTGGAATATCTGGCAGCCTCTTTTACCACCATAAAAACTTGACTTTTAGCCACTTTTACTGACCCTATTTATTTTGGACGAATTTCACAACCCTAGGGACTCCTTTTTGGTTATGCTCTCCTTTCACACACACTAAAACCCTAGCCGTTCCATAAATTTCCACCATCTGGACCCATCCCAGGAGGCTGTTATGGGAGAAGTTCAACATCAGAATTGGTTCAAGGGTTTCCTCTCATGAATTTATTTTCACTCATGTTGTTTATTTTCGTTTTAATCTCTGTGAACATGATGTGTAACTAAATTCATAGCTAGGGATTTCGATGTAGCCTTGCAACCTTGATCCTTGTTTCTAAGTTAAAGTATTCAGTTCATCAATCTGCCTCTTGTTTCATTCACTGAATCTATTGTTAAATTTGTTTGTCAATTTTAATGTTTGATCACCATTAGGGTTGCCTACAGATTATCTGGACAAGTTATAGTAAACATCATGCTTAATCTTGGTAGACATGTTAATGAATGAAGAGAATGCTATGCAAACATCCTGCCATGTGTTTTCTTTGGTTCTTTAACGTTTTCTTGCATGCTAATGACTCTTAACTTGGAACCAAAGTTGAACATCCCAATTAGGTTGCAGATTAGGAGAATTTAATCAAAACTACACATCATATGGCTGATCATATATATGTAAAACGAACTCCGGAAACAGGTTGGTAGTTGGATACGGTTTAACTTTATAAACATGGAATTGGTTTTGCAACGGTGAATTCGAAATCCCTGGTCTCATCCCTATTCTTCTTACATCAATATCTCATTCACTGCTATATTCTTCTTGCATTTTAAGTTACCTTTTATTTACAACACAAACTACTCTCAATTTGTCACTTTCATTTTTAGTTAGGGTTCTTTCGAAACTAGTAAATTTATAGAGGTCCAATCAGTCCCTGTGGTTCGACACCCTTACTTGTACCATTATACTAACCATATATTGGCACTTGGAAGGAACACAACAAAATTTTGGCGCCGTTGCCGGGGACTGATTTCAGTCCTCAATAATTGCTTGTTCTCAAACCCTAATTTCGTTTTATTTTTGTTTCTCAGGTAGTATATGTCAGATACACTTGCTGAAATAGGCCAAAGACTTGAACGGTTAAAGAGCAACACTTTTGAGAATTCTGTATCAGCTAGTGCCCAGACTAGCCGTATAGAAGAGGACAATAGTTCTTCTAGCCCAACGAGTGTAGATTCTTTCGATAACTCTAACTCTGACGGAGAAGAAGAGATGGCTGGCAATAACGATGACAACCGAGCTTTGGAAGATTATGCTCAACCGGTTATACCAAATTCACCTTCGTGCATCTTGCTGCCTACTGAAGCTAGAAATTATGAACTCAAATCTTCACATTTTCACATGCTTCCTTCTTTTTATGGTTTACCTAACGAAGATCCATTATCCCATATTAAGGAATTCTACAATGTTGTGAGTGGTTTACCTTTGCAGGGAGTGAGTGAAGCAAATCTGAGGATGAGGGTTTTTCCTTATACATTGAAAGATAGAGCAAAGAATTGGCTAAATGACTTTAGCACCTGGTTCGCTCACCACTTGGGATGCCGTAGCTAAGAAGTTTCTGGAGAAGTTTTTCTCAACTCAAAAGACAGCTACGTTGAGAGGGCAAATCTTTAACTTTAAACAAGATGATGGAGAACCTTTCAATGAATGTTGGGAGCGTTTCAAAGGCCTGTTGCTGCAATGTCCACATCATGGGTTACCTCTTTACTTACAAATGCAAATTTTTTATGATGGACTAACCCAAACATGTCAATCAACTGTGGATAATGCAGCAGGTGGAGCTTTGAAGAAGAAAATGCGCAAGAGTCATATAACATTTATGAGATGTTGGGATCTAATGCTCAACACAAAGATACAAGAGGTAAACGAGTTGGAATGTATGAAATGAGTTCTAATAATGATCTTGCTTTGCAGGTGGCTAGTTTGGAAAAGAAGCTCGATTCTGTGCTCAATATGGCGCCTAAGATAGCTGAGGTGTGTGCCATTTGCAACATACCAGGTCATCCTACTTATCAATGCTCAGCTAGTGAGGCTTATCCCGAATTCGTTCAAGAGCAAGTGAATCTCATGAATTCTTACAATCAGAGGCCGAGGAATGACCCGTTCTCTAATACATATAACCCTGGTTGGAGAGATCATCCCAATCTCTCATGGAAGAATAACAATCAATTTCAAAATTTCCAACCAAAGCCTGCCACTACGCTTGAAGATACTGTCAAAATGCTAGCTCAAAACACCGTTCAATTCCAGCAAACTACCAATAGTACTCTCCAACAACATTCAGCTGCTCTAACCAAAATGGAGACACAATTAGGTCAGATTGCTGATGCTTTGAGTCAAAGAGAACCCGGGAAATTTCCAAGCCAACCGGTGATACTTCAAAGGAACCAAGAGCAGGCCAAAGCGGTCATAACACTTAGAAGTGGTAAGGTTATTAATAATGGAGTTGGCAATGAAGTTACTAATGAATCTGATCATGTGAATGCAGGCCCCACTCAAGAAGAGAATGAGAAACCGAATGAAGATCCAAGCAATGCCACTTCTTCGTATGAAGCTCCAAATTTTCACAAGGCTGAAAAACCTTACACTCCTCCAATCCCATTTCCTGGAAGACTTGCCAAAAGCAAGCAGGAGAAGTCATTTAAAGAAATTTTTGATATTTTAAGTAAAGTGAATGTTAATTTACCTTTGCTTGATGTCATTAGGAATATGCCAGCATATGGGAAATTTTTCAAGGAGCTAAACACTTATAAGAGGAAGTATGGACCTAATGAAAAGGTGATGGTGTCTGAAAATGTGAGTGCTGTGCTTCAAAGAAAGCTCCCACCAAAACTCAAGGATCCGGGCAGTTTTTCTATCAATATCACCATTGGAGACAAGCTAGTTGAAAAGGCTATGCTTGACTTGGGGGCGAGCATCAATTTAATGCCCTATTCAGTGTACCTTCAATTAGGTTTGGGGGGTTTGAAGGCAACAACTATTTCATTGCAACTTGCCGATCGATCAGTGAAATATCCAAGAGGTATAGTGGAAGATATCTTAGTTCAAGTTGACAAACTAATTTTGCCTGCTGATTTTGTAGTGTTGGACATGGAAGAGGCTCCTATACATGATCGTGAGTTACCTATTTTGCTTGGGAGACCCTTTATGGCCACGGCAAAGACTATCATAGATGTGCAAAATGGTCTCCTCACCATGACTGTGCTAGGAGAAACTGTACAATTCAAAGTGTTTGAATCTCTTTCTCACCCTTCTAGTTCACTTGATTGTTGTTCGATTGATGTGCTTGATTCACTTGTTTTCTCTAAGTTTTTGCTGGCACAATCCAATGATCCATTACAATATGTTTTGAGTCAATCTCAAGATGACTTTGATGAAGAAGTGCTCATGGAGATGGTGGCAGCCTTGGAAGCATTAAAACCATATCCCTCCACTTTTTCACCTCTTATAGAGCCATTAGGACCATCTGCCACACATCTGACCCCTTCTGTTGTTAAACCTCCAAAACTTGAGCTTAAACCACTTCCATCACATCTAAAATATGCTTACCTAGCTGAGTTTGAAACTCTCCCAGTTATCATAGCATCTGACCTCACCCCTTTGGAAGAAGAGAAGCTAATTAGGGTGCTAAAAGAGTTCAAATCAGCCATTGGTTGGTCTATTGCAGATATCAAGGGAATAAGCCCTACCATGTGCATGCATCGAATTTTATTGGAGGAAGGAGCGAAACCAACTCGAGAACCACAAAGAAGGCTCAATCCACACATGAAGGAAGTAGTGAGAGCTGAAGGGTTGAAGTTGCTAGATGTGGGTATCATATACCCGATTTCAGATAGCAAATGGGTCAGCGCTGTTCACGTAGTGCCTAAGAGGATTGGAATCACAGTGGTAAAAATGAGCATAAAGTGCTTGTTCAAATGAGACCTGCAGCTAGTTGGCGTGTTTGCACCGATTACAGGAAGTTGAATTCGTACACTAGAAAAGATTATTTTCCTATGCCTTTTATTGATCAAATGCTTGAGCGATTAGCTGGTCACGCATATTATTGGTTTCTTGATGGATATTCAGGTTATAATCAAATTGCGATTGCTCCAGAAGATCAAGAGAAGACTACATTCACCTGTCCTTTTGGCACTTTTGCATATAGGAGGATGCCGTTTGGCCTTTGCAATGCCCCAGCAACATTCCAACGATGTATGCTGGCAATCTTTTCAGATATGATTGAGAGATTTATTGAGGTATTCATGGACGATTTTTCAGTTTTTGGTTCTTCTTTTGATATTTGTTCAAGTATTGCCCTGACCAAATCATTCGAAGATGTGTTCCGGAGAGTGAGTAGCAAAGCATAATAACATTCAGTCATGCATTGGCATGCGGAGGTCATTTCAGTGCCAAAAAGACAGCTTTAAAGGTTTTACAATCTGGTTTCTTTTGGCCTACATTATTTAAAGATGCTTTTTATTTTTGCTCTAAGTGTGATAGGTGTCAGAAAATGGGGAGCATCAGTCGCAGGAATGAAATGCTAATAAACAACATTTTAGTGGTAGAGCTGTTTGATGTGTGGGGAATTGACTTCATGGGACCATGTTGTTAAAATGTTAACTCGCAATTGTACGGCCCAATTAGTAGTATAGCAAGACAAGTATGAGGTTGTACCCACTAGGACTGAGAAGTTAAAATTAGTTATGCACTTAGATTACTAAATTCAAGAAAGTAGGAGGTTAAGTCTAAAACAGAATTTAAATCAAGAGTGATTGTGATTGTTGAACAAATGAGGCAAAATGAAATTTCAAACAAAAGCAAAGTGAGCAAATGTAACAAAGAGTATTTTTTGTAGGCTGGAAAACAGATTGGGAAAACTAGGGCATTCGATTAACCATAACAATTCAATTAAGGGTTATAAGGAGTCAAGTGACAAGTCTAATTCTGATTCAAAGATTGATTCTAGCTAAAGTATGATTAGGCCATGGTGTCTGGTCCTAACCTTGTGTTCCTAATTCCCTAACTTGATCATTTGTTGTCTAACCTAAATTAAGCATTAGGAACCCATTAAGCATAGAAGAACAATTTAAACAACCAAGCATGTATCTAATCCCTGTTGTTGAATGTCCATACATACTTTTCTTATTCATAGTTCAATTCGAATCAAAGCATGGTGTCTACTCTTGATTCAAACCAAGGTAGCTAATATCACTACTACAAAAATCGAAATAGACGACGGGAAACCACCGTCGTATAAAAGGTTTTCGCTCGGTCGTGAAATCGACTGCCGTCTATTTGGGTTTCAAACTACGACGGCTTTTCACCGTCGTTGTTTATCAGTAAAGATGACGGTTTTTAAAGAAAATCGTCGTTGTTTAGAGGTAAAGATCGTTAATTATAGGAGGAAAGACGACTGTTTTTAATAAAACCGTCGTGTATTGTATGTAAAGATGACGATTTTTTTATGAAAACCGTCGTGGATTGTTTATAAAGACGTCATCTTTACATACAATAGACGACTTTTTTTTATAAAAAGCGTCATCTTTACATACCACAAAAAAAAAAAAAAAAAAAAAAAAAAAAAAAAAAAAAAAAAAAAAAAAAAAAAAAAAAAAAAAAAAAAAAAAAAAAAAAAAAAAAAAAAAAAAAAAAAAAAAAAAAAAAAAAAAAAAAAAAAAAAAAAAAAAAAAAAAAAAAAAAAAAAAAAAAAAAAAAAAAAAAAAAAAAAAAAAAAAAAAAAAAAAAAAAAAAAAAAAAAAAAAAAAAAAAAAAAAAAAAAAAAAAAAAAAAAAAAAAAAAAAAAAAAAAAAAAAAAAAAAAAAAAAAAAAAAAAAAAAAAAAAAAAAAAAAAAAAAAAAAAAAAAAAAAAAAAAAAAAAAAAAAAAAAAAAAAAAAAAAAAAAAAAAAAAAAAAAAAAAAAAAAAAAAAAAAAAAAAAAAAAAAAACATAATATGGTGGGAGGAGTCATTTGGTGTGTTTTGAGTGAAATCCAATGGATAAAACTATGCAATACACCAACCACTCCATTTCAGAGCGAACTTCGTACGAACCTGAATCGTCCAATTTGACGGACCAATCGATATCGGATTGAGTCCAAAACTTGGGGAACATCATAATATGGTGGGAGGAGTCATTTGGTGTGTTTTGAGTGAAATCCAATGGATAAAACTATGCAATACACCAACCACTCCATTTCAGAGCGAACTTCGTACGAACCTGAATCGTCCAATTTGACGGGACCAATCGATATCGGATTGAGTCCAAAACTTGGGGAACATCATAATATGGTGGGAGGAGTCATTTGGTGTGTTTTGAGTGAAATCCAATGGATAAAACTATGCAATACACCAACCACTCCATTTCAGAGCGAACTTCGTACGAACCTGAATCGTCCAATTTGAGGGACCAATCGATATCGGATTGAGTCCAAAACTTGGGGAACATCATAATATGGTGGGAGGAGTCATTTGGTGTGTTTTGAGTGAAATCCAATGGATAAAACTATGCAATACACCAACCACTCCATTTCAGAGCGAACTTCGTACGAACCTGAATCGTCCAATTTGAGGGACCAATCGATATCGGATTGAGTCCAAAACTTGGGGAACATCATAATATGGTGGGAGGAGTCATTTGGTGTGTTTTGAGTGAAATCCAATGGATAAAACTATGCAATACACCAACCACTCCATTTCAGAGCGAACTTCGTACGAACCTGAATCGTCCAATTTGACGGACCAATCGATATCGGATTGAGTCCAAAACTTGGGGAACATCATAATATGGTGGGAGGAGTCATTTGGTGTGTTTTGAGTGAAATCCAATGGATAAAACTATGCAATACACCAACCACTCCATTTCAGAGCGAACTTCGTACGAACCTGAATCGTCCAATTTGACGGGACCAATCGATATCGGATTGAGTCCAAAACTTGGGGAACATCATAATATGGTGGGAGGAGTCATTTGGTGTGTTTTGAGTGAAATCCAATGGATAAAACTATGCAATACACCAACCACTCCATTTCAGAGCGAACTTCGTACGAACCTGAATCGTCCAATTTGAGGGACCAATCGATATCGGATTGAGTCCAAAACTTGGGGAACATCATAATATGGTGGGAGGAGTCATTTGGTGTGTTTTGAGTGAAATCCAATGGATAAAACTATGCAATACACCAACCACTCCATTTCAGAGCGAACTTCGTACGAACCTGAATCGTCCAATTTGACGGGACCAATCGATATCGGATTGAGTCCAAAACTTGGGGAACATCATAATATGGTGGGAGGAGTCATTTGGTGTGTTTTGAGTGAAATCCAATGGATAAAACTATGCAATACACCAACCACTCCATTTCAGAGCGAACTTCGTACGAACCTGAATCGTCCAATTTGAGGGACCAATCGATATCGGATTGAGTCCAAAACTTGGGGAACATCATAATATGGTGGGAGGAGTCATTTGGTGTGTTTTGAGTGAAATCCAATGGATAAAACTATGCAATACACCAACCACTCCATTTCAGAGCGAACTTCGTACGAACCTGAATCGTCCAATTTGAGGGACCAATCGATATCGGATTGAGTCCAAAACTTGGGGAACATCATAATATGGTGGGAGGAGTCATTTGGTGTGTTTTGAGTGAAATCCAATGGATAAAACTATGCAATACACCAACCACTCCATTTCAGAGCGAACTTCGTACGAACCTGAATCGTCCAATTTGAGGGACCAATCGATATCGGATTGAGTCCAAAACTTGGGGAACATCATAATATGGTGGGAGGAGTCATTTGGTGTGTTTTGAGTGAAATCCAATGGATAAAACTATGCAATACACCAACCACTCCATTTCAGAGCGAACTTCGTACGAACCTGAATCGTCCAATTTGAGGGACCAATCGATATCGGATTGAGTCCAAAACTTGGGGAACATCATAATATGGTGGGAGGAGTCATTTGGTGTGTTTTGAGTGAAATCCAATGGATAAAACTATGCAATACACCAACCACTCCATTTCAGAGCGAACTTCGTACGAACCTGAATCGTCCAATTTCACGGACCAATCGATATCGGATTGAGTCCAAAACTTGGGGAACATCATAATATGGTGGGAGGAGTCATTTGGTGTGTTTTGAGTGAAATCCAATGGATAAAACTATGCAATACACCAACCACTCCATTTCAGAGCGAACTTCGTACGAACCTGAATCGTCCAATTTGAGGGACCAATCGATATCGGATTGAGTCCAAAACTTGGGGAACATCATAATATGGTGGGAGGAGTCATTTGGTGTGTTTTGAGTGAAATCCAATGGATAAAACTATGCAATACACCAACCACTCCATTTCAGAGCGAACTTCGTACGAACCTGAATCGTCCAATTTGAGGGACCAATCGATATCGGATTGAGTCCAAAACTTGGGGAACATCATAATATGGTGGGAGGAGTCATTTGGTGTGTTTTGAGTGAAATCCAATGGATAAAACTATGCAATACACCAACCACTCCATTTCAGAGCGAACTTCGTACGAACCTGAATCGTCCAATTTGAGGGACCAATCGATATCGGATTGAGTCCAAAACTTGGGGAACATCATAATATGGTGGGAGGAGTCATTTGGTGTGTTTTGAGTGAAATCCAATGGATAAAACTATGCAATACACCAACCACTCCATTTCAGAGCGAACTTCGTACGAACCTGAATCGTCCAATTTGACGGGACCAATCGATATCGGATTGAGTCCAAAACTTGGGGAACATCATAATATGGTGGGAGGAGTCATTTGGTGTGTTTTGAGTGAAATCCAATGGATAAAACTATGCAATACACCAACCACTCCATTTCAGAGCGAACTTCGTACGAACCTGAATCGTCCAATTTGAGGGACCAATCGATATCGGATTGAGTCCAAAACTTGGGGAACATCATAATATGGTGGGAGGAGTCATTTGGTGTGTTTTGAGTGAAATCCAATGGATAAAACTATGCAATACACCAACCACTCCATTTCAGAGCGAACTTCGTACGAACCTGAATCGTCCAATTTGAGGGACCAATCGATATCGGATTGAGTCCAAAACTTGGGGAACATCATAATATGGTGGGAGGAGTCATTTGGTGTGTTTTGAGTGAAATCCAATGGATAAAACTATGCAATACACCAACCACTCCATTTCAGAGCGAACTTCGTACGAACCTGAATCGTCCAATTTCACGACCAATCGATA